TAATTTGAGATTGGCGCACGGATGCAGAGGTTGTGCATTGGTTCAGTGGATGCAGGCTGGCGTCTCCGGCGCACTACTGGCTGGCTGGCTGTTTCTCGTGATGGAAAACCGGCCTGTTCGGATGCTGTGTCTAGCGCCTGCAACTGGCGGCGTTCGTGTTCCGTGTTCGGAGAAACATTACCCGGCACGGAGCTACCGGGACGGATTCTTTTTCCTGCGGCAGAAGAACGGAACATTGGGGGGGTGGTTGGTTTATCGGTCATGATGCGGCGCTCTGCTTTTCTTCAAGGATGGAAATGATTTCGTTGGATAGCTCTAAAGCGTTTTCACGAGCTTTGGGGAGTCCTTTCACAATACCTTCGTCCAATTCATCAAGATCAAGAAGGCCAGCGAATAGGGCATTGTAAGCCTGCCGCTGGTATAGATGGTTTTTTAGGTATGGGCGCTGAATACCCTGTAACTCTTTCAGGATGTCGCGCTCGATGCGGGTAACAATCGTCGGGTTGGTGCGAGTGAAGATGATCCGCGCATCAATGCTGCGGTCGAAGGCTTCTTCTTCTGCTTCAATGATGCCCATCACGTCAGCCGCGCCGCGTGCATCCAGTGCGTTTGCCTGCATAGGGATTAAAACGAGGTCTGCACGCGAAATTGCACGAGACAGCAGCAAAGAGGCCGTGCCTTCAAGGTCGATCAGAACGATGTCGTCTTTAAGGGCGCGTTCCTTGATTGTGCCGATGATTGTCTTTTCACGAGCGTTTGGCTCTACCCGGATCGGGTTTTTTGAATACCCTTCTGTTTTCCAGAAGGCCACGTTTTGACGCGGATCGGCGTCAATGATTGTGACTGTGTATCCGAGCTTCGTCAGAGTGGTTCCTACGACAAGAGCGGTTGTCGTTTTGCCCGTTCCGCCCTTGGGGTTTGCGATTGCGATTACCGGCATGAGATTATCTCGCTTTCATGTTGTATGGTCTATATAGCAAATGCCATATAGCAAGGCAATGCCATAAATACCATATTGTATATATATACTATATATAACACATACAACGGAAACACGGAAAACGCGCGTTTTGACGCGATTTCGTGAGGGATTTCGGTTTTATTGGTGGTTTTTCTTGTGTATTGTGACATAGACGTGTAATTACGATGAAGCGCCACACGATCACATGATTAGAACGCCAATAAAATACTGATAGGCGCGTTATCGTGATAATTTAGAATATGAGGCGTATGTTTCTATGAGTGAAAATACGGATAGTGGAGTTATGGCGCACGAGATTGTGCGTTTTATTCCATATCTATATGTATTCAGTCCATCATTGGAGCGGGTTGTTAAGATCAGGATTGCGACCGCTTTGCGTGCAAATGATGCGACGGAAATTATCGAAAAATTAGGTTCGCCAATGGCCGAAACAGCGGTTGAAACGCTGAAATGGCTTGGTCGTGAGCGGCTTTTAGAAGAGGCGCAGGACTGGCGTTATCTGTCTGGAAGTGAAGTGGATCGGTACGCGGCAGTTGATCGGGCTAACGAGGACGGAGCTGCATGGGTTGGCAATGAGGTGCCGCCTGATGTGGTTTCTGGCGTTGGTGATGTTGGGGTGGAGGAAGAGTGACGTGCTGAAAAGGCTGTCCATATTGTCTGTGGCCGTATCTCTTTCCGTTCTGACAGGCGCAGCGCGTGCAGATGCGCAGCCACAAACGCCAGAACAAGGGAGCATTGCTCCTGTAGGCGTAAAGCGCGGCGATTATCAAAACGAGAAATCGCGTGTCATGAAATATGATGCACCTGATCCGAACGTCAAACCGCTTGAATTGCGTATGCAGGATACCGAACGCAGGTTATCTGAATTGGAAAGCGAGATGGAGGCTACCAGAAGTCACCTGCGTGATGTGATTGTGGCAGTTAATCGTCTCACTCTTGATATGGAGGGGAGCCGTCGGTGAATATTAATCCTATTGATGTATTCACTAATGTTGCAAGTCTTTTCCTTCCGGGCGTTAATTTCCTTTTTATGTTGTCCGCTCTGTTCGGCACATGGATTGGTTATAGAGCAACATACGATCTGTTTCGCCATGTGAAAGGCGATCAGGTTCCGGGTATGATGCCCAAGGATGCCATTCTTCCGTGCTATTTTCTGGCTGGTGCATTGATTGTGGTGCCAGTGATTTTGTGGCGCGGTGCTAAGACTTTTGTGTTGGGAGGTAATCGCACCTATAGCATCTTTTCATATCTGCCAAATACGCAGACAGGCAGCACATGCGGAAACCTAAGTAATTCCCTGACAGAGCTGTGCATGTTGATCGGGACGATTTCGATTTTCACGGCAGGAAGAAAGGCTTACGTGCGTGTGACGCGCCCGGAACAAGGTATCGGATCAGGTGGCGCAATAACGTATTTTGTAGCTGGTATCTTTTTGTTTTTCATCACAGACGCCAATTATTTGCTGTCAAAAACTGCGGGTGTGATGATTGGGATGCCTGCAATTTGCAAAGCGTTAGGAGAAGGCACAGGCCAGTAAGGCCGAAGGTCATAAGCAGATCAAAAGAAAAGCCGCCTCAAGGTGTTACCAGCACCCTAAAGCGGCCTTCCTTGGGATTTATGCCTTACTGAACGAAGGCGGTGACTAGAACACCGACATCTATACAGAAAGTCACGTTACCTTTAGTCACGGTACGTAATTTTTTCCTATAGTAAGTTACGTTATTCTGTCAATGCAGAGAATAAGGTCGTCTGATTGTCAGTCATTTTGGGCTTTTTCCGTTAGTACGTTTTCGCGCTCCCACTGGAGCCAGTCTTTAATGGGTGGCTTTGATTCAAATAGGCGCTTATGGGAATACTGCCAGCCGCGATAACGGTTGATGATTGCTTGTGATCCAGAGATCATGCAGACGGCCAACGTCCCGAATAGTGTCTGTAGGCTATGCGAATATAGAGTGAGTAGGCATCCGACAAACAAGATTGCTATTGCACCCCAAGCGTACAAACGGCTTTCACGGAATGAGCGTGCTGTGACTTCGGTGTAGGTTCGTTCCGGCAGGGCGTTAGGGTTTTGTGTTGTAAAGCCGCAGACAGAACAGTGCATGTGAACATGCGTTGTGTCGGCGTCCTCGGTATCGTCGAGGTCAGGGGTTAGGCTTTGGTTGTGGCATTTGGGGCATGTTCGTACGCTGCTATCAGCATTTGACAGAGCAGATTTTGCCACTTGTTTGATTATGCCAGCCCCTTCACCCACCTCGCTGTAAACAGACTCTTTTAGGCCGACTTTGCGCCGTACCCATGCAGGCGGATATGCAGCGTAAAGGATCTTCTGCTTTAGGCCGCTACGAGGCTTCTCTGAACCGTCTGGCTGGCTGTCAGACAACGGTAGTTTCCTTCATTTCTAATGCGTCATTGTCCGGGCTGTAACCTGTGATGCTGACATCCGACAGAAAATCGTTGAGAAGCATCCGTGCGGTTGCTGGATGATCGAAAAGAGGCTCAAGGCGTAGCTCTTTCCGGTATTCCGCATCTATGTAATTGGCCTTGTCTCGGACGCTCCATTCCATAATTTCGAGCTTGAAGCTATCCAAGGAAATGGCCGTGCGAATGTGACCGTTTTCGATCACAGTGGACGTTTCGTCGCCGTCATCAGGCGTTTCGTATTCTATCAGGCGCGTAGTCTGCCCGTAACCAGTTTCGATCTGGTGAGTACCGGGCGGGCGAGAGGCTGCCACGAATATCTGCTCAATGAAGTTATCACGAGGCTGTAAAGCATCGCGTAACCGTATGAGTTTCTGACGTAGCTCTGGTTCGTGGTCGTTTCTCGTGATTTCGTCAGTCATCACAAGTCTCCTTTCGTATGTCAACTATATATCGTTTGATGGTTGTTTGTATATGAAAACATGCCTAAACGATATATGGATCGTTATTGGTATTTCTATACAATGCCTCTAACCAGTCTAAGACGAAGGGATGATACAAATATGGGTAACAGGCTTTTTCTTAGTGGTCATTTGGCGTTTGATCCTGAAGTTAAAGATCGTAACGGCAAGAAGTTTGTTCGTTTTCGCGTGATTACGAATGAAGGCTACAAAAACAGGGATACGCAGGCGTGGGTTGATCGCTCCATGTCTCATGATCTTATCGTTTCTGATTTGTCTGGCGACGGGAAAGGGTTGTTTGGCTACATTACCCGGAACGGTCAGAAAGGGCGCTGGTGTGAGGTAGAGGGTAAACTTCATTACCGAGAATACAAGAAAGACGGTGAGGCATCAGGGATTTATGTCGCCTCTATTGTTGTTGACGGTGTGACCTTCCCGATTGGAGATCGGCGCAGGAATGCGGAGCCTGATGGAGCTTCCGAATGACAACGCTGATAATCGTTGAATCACCGGGCAAAGTGAAAAAAATCGGTGGTTTTCTCGGCGCAGGTTATCGTGTGGTTGCTAGTGTCGGCCATGTGCGTGATCTTCCTCTGCGCGAGATTGGTGTGGAGGCACCTGATTTCAAACCGCATTATGTTCCGACTACACGCGGTCGGGAAGTTTTGGCAAAGTTGCGGAAAGCTGTTGCGTCCAGTGATCGTGTTCTCCTTGCTACTGACCCTGACCGAGAAGGTGAGGCTATCGCGTGGCATCTGGCGGATGAATTAAAGCTGCGTCGGCCAGAGCGGATTACTTTTACAGCTATTACGCCGGAAGCGGTTAAAGCCGCCGTTGCGCAACCGCGTTCTATTGATATGCAGCTTGTACGCTCGCAGGAGGCGCGGCGCATTCTTGATCGCCTGATCGGGTGGCAGGTTAGTCAGGCTCTTTCCAGCCGATGCGGAGATGGATTGTCCGCAGGGCGCGTGCAGTCTCCGGCGGTGAGGCTGGTTTATGATCGTGAGCAATCTATCGCGTCATTCCGATCCACTGAACATTATGGCGTTGAAGTGACGGTGCAGGGTAGCAACGGTGCATGGAAAGCCGTGTGGGATACTAAGCCTCACCTGCCTAAAGACGAAAAATATCTGACAGATATGGCTCTGGCTCGGCGCGTGGCAGGTATCAAAAATCTTGTTGTGCGTGAGTTTGTGGATCAGGATAAAAACCGCGCACCTGCGGCTCCGTTTACGACATCCACGTTGCAGCAGGTAGCAGGGCAGCGGTTGAAGATGCGCCCGAAAGCGACGATGGATGCAGCCCAAAAGCTATATGAGCAAGGCGCTATTACATATCACAGGACGGATGCGCCCAACATGGATGCTGCCGGGGTGGATGATATAGCTGCTTATGCACGTAGCGCCGGTTTGCCGTTATCAGGCAAGTCTCGGAAATGGAAAGCCAAAGATGGGGCGCAGGAAGGGCATGAAGCCATTAGGCCAACACATGCAGCCGATCTGGAGCGCGGTGAGACAGATGATGAAAAGGCGTTGTATCGCCTGATCTGGCAGCGTGCTGTAGCCTCTCAATTAGCGGATGCGGTCTATGCTGTTCGTGCTGTGAAGTTGGAAGGCGAGCTAGAGGATTGTAAGGTTTCTTTCAAAGGTGTGGGCCGTACGCTAAAATCTTCTGGTTGGATTGCGATATATAAGCCGGATGACGATAAAGAGCTGACAGCAAGCAATCCAATACCTGAATTGAAAGTTGCTGATCCTGTCATGGTTGCTTCCGCCCGTGTGCAAACAAAGCACACTGAACCGCCTCCACGGTTTACTGAAACAACACTGGTTGGTGAAATGGAGCGTTTGGGGATCGGGCGTCCAAGCACATACGCGGCCATTATCGAAAACATTAAAGGTCGTCATTATGTCGATACGCAGAAGGGATACCTTGTTCCGACATCGGCGGGTGAGATCGTTCGGAAGTCTCTCGTAGGGCAATTCAAGTTTATCGAGTTTGATTACACGAAGAGCTTAGAGGAACTTCTGGATGAAATTGCCGAGGGTAAAAACACTTACAAAAACGTGCTGACGGCGGCTTGGAGTAATCTTGAGCGTGAGCTTGTGGGTTTAGAAAGCGTCGAATTGGCTGCGGCCATGCCGGTGTTCCCGTGCCCGTCGTGCGGAAAGCCTTTGCGGCGTAGAAAGGGCAAGTATGGTGCTTTCTGGTCGTGCAGCGGTTATCCAGACTGTACTGTGCGAATGAAGGATGCCGATGGAGAGCCGGGTGCGCAGATCATCGGAACAGCGGCAGATCAGCCAGCGAGCAGTAAACAGGTTGAGTTTATCACGCGGATGATTTCTGGTGGCTATACCGAAGCACCGCCGGGTTGGCCGAACATTACGAAGGCTCAAGCCTCCGATATTATTTCCGCCCATAAGGGAGAAAGCCAGACTACTGGATCGTCTAAAGCGAGGTCTGGCGCTAGGGCAAAGAGAAAATAGGCGTCAGAGAAGGAGGCTTATTTTTGAGGGGGCACTAAGCCCCCTTTTTTTTGGCTCCAAACATAGTCTTGCGTGCGATATCCGAACGCGATTTCCGATAGTTTGGAGAAATAACCGGGTAATCAGCCGGAAGATTCCAACGCAGCCGGTAGGCTTCTGGTGTCAGGCCGTAAGCTGTTTTGAGGTGTCGTCGCATTGTGCGGAACTTTCGTCCATCTTCCAGACAAATGATGTAATCATTTGTTACCGATTGGTCGATGGGGACGGCTGGCCGGACAGGAGGCGGAAGATCGAAAGGCGGCGCTGTGCCCTTTTCTGGATCTTCATGATGGTGATGGGGGTCTGTGACTTCCTCTTCTTCTGTCTCAATGGCCGAGGCTGCGGGAATAAGGTTGGCTACCTGCGTTACATGGCGACCTACTGTTGTCAGAACATCGTTGAGCTGATCCACATTGGTCAGATTTGATCGCCCGCATAGGAAGGCTGATGAAATATCAGCCATTGCGTTCAGGGCAGCGATTTGGATTGGTTCCTGTTCTGCGTGGCTATTGGTGTCGAAAGGGTGATGTGCGTGGGTTTCTTGCTCGCCTTCAGCTTCCTTGAATAGCTTGTTAGTTTGCTTTCGGTCGTTTTGTTTGCGTACAGACATCAGTTTGTATGTTCCTTGACGGCGATCAAAGATGAATAGGCACGATATTAAGCCCCCTATTTGTCGTGTGTCGATAGGGATTTATACATCTTATACGTTAGAGATCGTTTCTGATAATGAAGCATCACGTATAAAAACATACAAAAGATTACGTTTTGGTATTAAGTGAGCATACTTGGCTTGACGATAATCCTCCTAATGGCATTAAGCCATGATAGTATAATGACAATGCGTTATGGAGTGATGATGTCGTCGTATAGTCAGTTGCGTCGGCTGTTCCTACGGGGGCAGGGCGCAGGTTCAGATCGTTCAATTCTATACGAAGATTTCACTATTCGTTCAGCATTGCGGGCTGCGCGGCGGGGCAAAGCGAGGCGTCGCAACGTGATCGGCACGGAGGCTGTGCGGAGATTTGAAAACGAGGAACGTGATCGGCGGGAGGCATATCAGGCGTTGATGTGCGAGGAACAGGGGAAGGGTAAACATGAATAAGGTGGATAGAAACGAGGCGCGACAAGCGGTAAGGGCGTTTATTGATCGTCGTCCTGACATTGCTGATGAAATCGGTGTCAGCCCTCATAGCAATGACGATGAGCTTTATACCGAGTTTATGGATGCAGTATCGTTGCTTCCAGAGGGTCAGTCGCAAACCATTATGGCGGAATTGTATTCATCTGATGGTGGCTCATCCATTCCAAAGCCATTGTATCCATTTCCGAAGGTTATGGATGAACAAGGTAAAATCTTCCAGCCTTTGCAAAGTGCTGATGTCGTGGATCAGAATTATGTGGGGCGGTATCATGCCGGACAGGCGCGTTTTATCTTTGATGCGGGTAATGAAAAGCTACAACGGGTTGCTGATGATCTGGATGCCGCAGCAACCGCAGCACAGAGAATAATGGATGATCCTAACGCTCGCCTTTCTGATGTGGTGCGTCAGATGGGTAAGGTGCAAGATCTTCGCACGTCGTTTGGTCAGGCTTTTGATGCCTACAAAAGTGATGTTTTGCCGGAAATAGAGCAGCATACAGAGGTCGCACGAGATGCCGCCAGTAGTGTGCATGAACGTGCTGCTATTGATAGCATGATGAATATGATGCGTGAGCCACCAGTGGTTAATATCGTTTCTGAATGTATCCAGAAAACGGCGTCACGTTTTGAATCGTTTAAGAATGACATTTCTATTGATAGAAATGCAGGAAGAAAACCAGAAAATGATGACGACTTGACGTTTCAAAACGATCATTTATCGCCATCTCCCGGTTTAACATGATTTTTCTATTCTCTGTTCGTGGTTGATGCGTTATAGTCACGTTACGGTATGTATTCCCATGACGGAGAAGAGCGAGTGAATACGAAGTTAATGATATTGGGAGGGGGTATTGCTCTCGGTATGTCGGGTATAACAGGTCTTTCTTGTGGTTACGTTCTTGGTATCACTCATCCTCCTGTTGTCGCTCGTTTTGTTCCGAATAATGATTACGGTTCAGGTGTTCCCTTAACGGCAATGGCTGCTGGTTCTGTTTCGGCGCGTGATACGGATGCGCTCTCCGCCGCTTTGGCTACTCGTGCTGCGGCCGCAGTTGCAAAGCAGGAGAAAGAAGCGGGTGAAGGTGAAGAGGCAAAGCAGCCGGTGGCAAAGCTGGCTGGTGATAGTCAGGCAGTAGGTTCTGATACGAATAAGGTGGTTGTCGATCCGTTCGCCACTCCGGCCATTGCGCAGAAAATTATGGCGCAGATTGCGCGACTGCACGGTGTTGTGCGTCCGAATAAATCTGGCGTAGCGCCGGATGTGACAAAAATGATTACCGTCTTTTTTGATCCGCGCTGCCCATACTGTCACCAGTTGTTTGAAGCGATTGACGGCAAGGTTCCTGTTCGGTGGATTCCGGTTCCTGTCTTGCAGCCTACGCATGTGGGCGTGAAATCTTCCTTCTTCATTCTTGATGCAAAGGGTGATGCAGGGAAGGCTATTCAGGAGGCATTTAGCTACGTTGGTGAGGGTAGCGTAGCGCATACACCCGAAGAGGCGCAGAAGTGGGTTGATGCGGTTCCTGTGCATGAGGAAGAAAAGCACTGGTTGCAGGACAGCCTCATGGCATTTGTTGCTCTGCATAAAAGCCGCAATGCAAATATCGGCGTACCGTCAATTATCGTTCCTCATGCAGATGGTACTATTTCTATGCACGATGGGTATGAGCCGGGTGATGAAAGCAAAATCATTGCCGAGTATCAGCAGGGACGGTGATGGGAGCGAAGTTTTCGTTCCCTGATGATAAGCCGGTGTTTCGGCCAGATCGTCAGGTTTCACAGTTCAAATTATTAAATACTTGCATCGCGTTTTTGGCGGTGACGTTCGTTGCCGGAACGATTGCAATGGTCGTTCTGGTGGCGGTGATGCTGCATCGCGCAGACGCGATCCCGTACGTCGCGGACGGTGGCGAGTTTGGGTGCCGCGTGCCCGTGTTAAGTGCAGGGAAATGAAGGGTCATAGTATGCGCGATATAGGAGACGATGAGCCGCCTGTTGGGCAGTCAGAGAGCGAACGGATTATTGCTGAAAACAAAAGTTTTTTGGCACGGCTTTCTGAACGCAGAATGTTTGCGGTCATACTGTTATTCACAAATGCTTGCCAGCTATTCGTGAATCTGACGTTGATATGGGCGGTTCTATATCATTTTCCGGTTAAGCAGTTTTTATGGACATCAGATGCCCGGAGTGTGTGTACAGCAATCCCACTTTCAGAGCCGGATATTAGTGCTGCTCGCGTGAGTAATTTTGTCGCAAGCGCAGCCGTTGATCTTCATTCATACGATTACCTTAACTGGCATCGTATGCTGACTAACGCGATGGAGAAGTATCTTACTCCGCGTGAACGTGTGCAGTTTGAAGAAAATATCCAGCAGATTATCAAGATCATTCAGGACGGCAACATTACGCTGACCGCCATTGTGACAGGGCGGCCTCATATTGATGAAGAAGGCGTCCGTGCTGTGGATCACAGATATTACTGGCGCGTCTCGGTTCCTGTGGAGCTGTTTTATTACAACGGAACAGAAAGAAAGCCGGAAAACCGGGTGATGACAATGACGGTTGTTCGTGTTGATCCGTCACCGGAAAATCCGAACGGTATCGCTATTGATGATTTCGTAAGTGTGCAGTCTGTGGATCAGTCTGGTGCGCAGGGTTTGGAGTAAAGGTGACGCAATGAAAACGATGCGATTGATGATGACATCGGTGTGCGTTCTCGCGTTGGCGCACGCGCCTTCTTATGCGAGAGGTAGGTATGTTCATGGTGATTCCTCGGCTGAGTCCACGGATGTGGATAAGAGCCAAGATAATCCAGATGCTAAATCTTCTCCCGTATCAGTAAGTGATACCGGAAATACAAAGTTTCCGTATCCTGCCGCGCCCGCTTCCGCAGGTTCACTTTCTCCGTCTGTGCAGGCTGCTTTTTCACAGCAGCACGCCAAGGCTATCGGTGCGAATAGTCAGGCAATGCTGAAAACTGATGAAGTCAATTCCTTTCGTAAGAGAGTGATGGACAATCAGGAGGCTGTTGCTAACCCCTCATATGATCCTAATGAGGGGCCACCTGATACCATTCGGAAAGATGTGGATTTCGTGATGGAGCCGGGGCGTGATCCTGAAAAGATCACCATGTCAAAATGGGCACCAGCTCCATTTACGTTTTTGGATACACGCAAGCGGGCGATTACGGTTGAAGGCGTATCATATAATCTTGAAGCGTTCCGGATAAATGGGCGTGGTTGTGATTCAGGAGGTACGGGAGAGGGTGAGCAGGGAGGTAAGCCCGCAAACGCAAATGCTGATGAAATGCCAGCCACCACGGTGCTGTATGTTTCTGCTTGCCGTCCGTCTGAATGGGGTTCGATTTCAGTCAAATTAGCGGGGTATCCTGTCCCTGTCGTGTTTGTTGTGACTGTTTCTCCGAAAGCCTCGCAAGTTGATCTTCCGGTCGTTCTGACTGTTCATAGTCCAGCCCCTCCACCTTCAAAGCCGGTTAGGAGGTCACGGCCCAAGCCGCCAGTAGCGGCAGCAGACGATGGGAACGGCCCGTCTCCGTTGTGGTCGTTTATGTCCGGCACGCCACCGCAGGGGGCGGTTCCCGTGCAGATTGGTGGTGGCGCGAGAGCATGGACGTATGGTGGTGCAACGTATGTGCGTGCTGATGGGCATTTGAATGGTGGCACAGCATCAGCGGAAGCTACCTCTGGCCAAACCACGGTTTTGAAGTTTGATACACCACACATGAATCAAATCCATCTGACGCGCCCGGACGGGCAGGAGGAAACGCTAACTGTAGGTTCGGGAGCAGTAAGATGAACGGTGACAATTTAGGAAAGATCAAAAAGCTAATTCGTAAGCCGATGTTTTTGGCGGGCGTGGCCGGACTGGCATTGGTTGGTGTGACTACTGGATGGGTGTTGAGATCGCCTCCTGTGCATCATTCTGACACCGGACTAGGGGGTAATGCTGATGTTCCGATACCGCCAGAAATGCGCAAAGATCATATGTCACCAGTAGGAGATGCAGAAGCAGATCGCCGGGTAACGCAGAATGTTGATGCCGCACAACATGCTATGGCTGATGGTAAGTCTTATGTTGCACCACCAGTCATTGCAAAAAGTGCGCCTGCTAAAATTGAAGCGAAAGAAGAAAAACCAGAGAAAGAGCTTCTTCCGTCTGTTGTGGGTGTGAAGGATGGTGAAGAAGAAGAGGTCACGCCAGATCATGGTGCAACACATGCACGTTCGCATGGTTCAGACGAACAGGAAGATGATGGGGGTGATGTTCAGACTATTGGCACCCGGATCAATGAGCAGGTAGAT